AGTTCCACTTAGCATTGAGTGCTAACTGCACTACCACGGTTTCTGCCATATTGTTCTTTAGCAATCTTCGCATAGAAATGGTAATAAAACGACCCTGTTTAAACGCAGCAATGTCATGGGATAGATGAAGATAAATAGATATATCTATCTAGGCTGATCGCTAGCACACTGTTATCACACTGTTTGCCCTCTGTACCTATTTAAGTACATTAAATACACAACAATTAATGCTGTGTTACACCAAGAGGCTATAATATATAACCTAGCTAGCTTGATAACACCATAACATGGTTAAGGTCCTTAAAATTCCAAGCCTCCAACATAATTATTCTCACTAAGCAAAGAATACAGGCATATCTGTCTCATACTCATCTGGGCTTTTTTTTTTTTTCCTTTCTTTTCTTGAGATGACATTTAGCTGTGAGGGTCTCACACCCAATTAGCATGTGGCTAACCGGTGGCATTTTAATCAGTGCTGTGTGTAGAGCCTTTAGCTTTTTTGCTAAAGCTGACACTTTCTCTCAAATTAAAAGCCATGAAGAAGAAAAAGGTCTGCCATTCTCTTCTAGATAGTGTGTGTGTGTGTGTGTGTGTGTGTGTGTGTGTGTGTGTGTGTGTGTGTGTGTGTGTGTGAAACATGTGTCTGAACATTGTGTATGTGTCTAGGTATATGTGTAAAGGTGGGGTCTGTTCTAACTGAAAATGAATATCTGAATACGGGTTTGAACATGTGACTGTGTGTGTGTTTGTGTGTATTGTGATTGTCGGTAGTTAACGGGTAGTTAATTGTCGATAGTTAATGGCGATAGTTAACATTAGCCAGTTGCAAAGTTGATCATGTTACACTGGCTGACATTAGCTCAGTTAGCTACCTAATTAGCTACCCAGTGCTATTTAAGTAATTAGCTTAGCTTACATTAACATTACCTCGGTAGCAACAGCAAGTTTGGTAGCACAGTAGCTAATTTTCGATAAACTGTTACACCAAAGAAAGGAGCAAAAATGTATATGGTGGCCATTTTGAGTCGTACATTGTGCACTTGTTCTCTTGGAAGATGTTCTGAATGCTCGATGACATGAAGTAGCACACAGTGAGCTTTCATTTCGGTTGATTTGAGACATTAATGCACTAAAATATCAAGGTACTAGAGAGTGAAGTGCAATGTTCTATAGTGTGTTATATATTTGAGAGACAATTTGAGACACTTCAGCAGCTTATTGTTATTTTTTTTTCACCACCAGGGTATGTTAGCGAATGTCAGCACACATTTTTATACAGCTGTGAGGAAGAAGTGACACTGAGGAAATGTCCAGTGTCAGTCCCCCATTTTAGATTTATTTATTTTGTTCAGAAAGTTGAGACGACGTCCCTTTTTTTTCTTGTTTCCCATTGGCTTGTGAATTCACGTAATCAAACTCAGCGTGAGGCAAATTGAAATGTTACAGGAAGCAGCTTTTCTGTTTTTTAACCTTTCTTGTTCAAGTGAACTGTCTTTTTCTGCAATAAAGCTCTTTATTCATGTTCCCTCCGACTGCTGCTTTAATAGTTAAGAGTTAAAAGTCAGAACTCTTTCCCTCACTTTCTCTCTGTCTCTCTCCTTCTGAAGTCAGATTATTCATCCTCCCACGGGCTGCTGCGTGGTGGGGGGAGATGTCAAAATGCCAGGAATGCACTCTAATGTGTGTGTGTGTGTGTGTGTGTGTTTTCATTCGTCACAAGTCATACTCCCACCTCCATTGTCATTTAGCGCCATGCCTGAGACTGCTGTCACCTACAAACGAGCACACACACACACACACACACACACACACACACACACACACACACACACACACACACACAGTGCAGGGCTCAGTTTACGTATTTGAATTTGAAGCTGGTGTATTATGAGCTGGATGGAATGAATGGAATCAGAGGGAGAGGCAGTTTGCTAAATATAGCTGAAGTCCACATACGTAAAACATATTTACAATGTACAGAGGCTTTGTACGCTATTATTATTATTATTAATTACGTATTCCTGTATTTGAATCCCTCCCTCCCTCATCCTCGTCTTCCGACTCCTCGGTGCTCTTTTGGCTAGCTGTCATGCATTGAGCGGAGTTTTGCCGCTAGCATGCTGTTAGCACCATGGAAACCAATTTTGGCCAGTAACCTTGGCTACAGTTGATGAACTCTGAGGCGAATGTTTGACCTCTGAGTCGGGGGAAGTGAGGAAGAACTGTCTCTCTACCCGTTAGCATCAACAATGAGAGAATGATTAACATTAGAATCAGAAATGAGCTTTACATAAGTTTGGTTTACTTAAGAGGAATTTCACTTTAGAAATAAATAAATAAATAAATAAATAAATACTGCAAGCACACTTGATAGTCTCGTGTAATTCCCATAATGCACTGCACCCATTTAAACATAATCGTACATATCGTCTTAGCTGAAACATCTCCATAACACCAGATTTATGATTTAATAGTCATCTTTTTAAGGTATACAAAGGTTTGAAAGGTTCAGCAACGGTTTTAGCATTCCAGCTAACTGTAGCTGTGTTTGAATTGCTAAGGCTGCGATGTTCTGCGTTGTAGACCGATTTTGATACCACACAGATTCATTCAAAGTTGAATTTTTTCTTAAAATTTATTCCTTGCTTCGGAAACGGGAAGAGAACACCCCCAGAGTGCTCATGTTCTTTTACAAAGACCCGGAAATGTCTTCTTGGCTTCTTGGCAAAGTCCTGATAAGGACAGAAAGCTTTATGGCAGATTTTATGGCAACAGTTCCTAAGCAATGATTGGTTGGCCAAGAAAAAAGGCGGGGCCTAAAATTGGTAAGATAATGTTATGTAGAATTAATGCATAAAGACACATTTGATCATTTGAAGAAGTTGCTGTGTGTGTGTGTGTGTGTGTGTGTGTGTGTGTGTGTGTGTGTGTGTGTGTGTGGTTTTGGTAGTAAGCTGACTTAGTGATAGGCTTTATGTAATACTCATCACACTAGAGACCAGAGCTTAGCCAGGCTTCACTACATCTAACACACACACACAGAGCTAAAGCCATGTATGAGAGTGACAGACACAGAAGAGGGACGATGAAGCACTAATGCATATGTCATGTAAATCAGAGCGCTTGTCTCAAACACACACACACACACCACAGAGACCTTGTACGTAGGAAAGGGTATGTTATACTTTAATGTTTTTTTTTTTAGGTCAGTTTACTTGACCTTGACCTTTGACCCCTACAACAATGACCACTGTTACCCTGTCTTGTGTCGCCATTTTACAATTTTATCTAACTATCTCCCTCTATCTGTCTGAATAACTGTTTCACTCTTCCAGTGTCCCTTTCTTCTTATCACTGTTTCTATCTTAGCTCTCGCTCTCTCTCTCAATCTGTAAGGGAAATGGTGTAATGTGATTCCTTATGCAGTAAAGGACCCATTCCTGCATCTCTGCATGAACAGCAGATAAGAATCAGACCAGACACATCTCTTCTCTCTCTAATTAAGTTTGTGTATGTGTGTGTGTGTATTGTATAGTGTAGGATGTCTCTGTGAATAACAGTAAAGAACAATGGGACTCCAAGACACAAAACCCAGCGAGCTGTTTTAATTTAGAGAGAGAGAGAGAGAGAGAATGTGTGTGTGTGTGTGTGTGTGTGTGTGTGTGTGTGTGTGTGTGTGTGTGTGGTATCACAGATGGGAGCAGAAAGAGCAACACTGACTGTCGCGTGTGACATCACACAACAGCGCACAACCGTGTGCCAATGCTCACTTCCGTACACACACACACACACAGGTTTTTCTGTTGCTATAATGGGTCGTGGCAGAATGGGGCTTGCTTTCCAGGCTCCGCCCATCCTTGCTTCCCTCTCCCTGCCTTGTTTCTTCTCTCTCTCTCCTCCTCAACTACTCTCTCCTGTCCCTGTGTTACGCAGTGTACAGATGGCCTTGTTTATCTGAATCAGCATGTGAGGTAGAGGGCAAGAGAAAGAGGGAGAGAGAGAGAGAGAGAGAGGATACAGTGATGGAGAAAGACAGAAAATCCTAAGAGTCAGAAAATGAAAGATAGAGACTGTGGGTGGGGAAGTTAGGAGATTTCTCCAAATTCATTAGTATGTTCTGTAATTAATCTGTACCTCTCCTGATTCATCTACAACTTTCCTAATAAATACACTTGTCTCCTAACTAACTCAAACATCTATTGATTCATTTAGTCTATTCTTAATTAATCTCCCAATTAATCTATACATCTCCTGATTAATCTATAAATCTCCTTATTAATTTATATGCCTCCTGATTAATCTATACATCTCCTGATTAATCTACACTTCTCCTTATTAATTTATATGCCTCCTGATTAATCTATACATCTCCTGATTAATCTATACATCTCCTTATTAATTTATATGCCTCCTTATTAATTTATATGCCTCCTGATTAATCTATACGTCTCCTGATTAATCTATACATCTCCTTATTAATTTATATGCCTCCTGATTAATCTATACATCTCCTGATTAATCTACACATCTCCTTATTAATTTATATGCCTCTTGATTAATCTATACATCTCCTGATTAAGCTACATGTGCCCTGATTACTTTATATGCCTCTTGATTAATCTATACATCTCCTGATTAGGCTACATGTGCCCTGATTAATGTATGTGCCTCTTGATTAATCTATACGTGTCCTGATTAATCTATATGTGCCCTGATTAATTTATATGCCTCTCGATTAATCTGTACGTCTCCTGATTAATCTATATGTGCCCTGATTAATTTATATGCCTCCGATTAATCTATACATCTCCTGATTAATCTATATGTCTCCTGATTAATCTACATGTGCCCTGATTAATTTATATGCCTCTCGATTAATCTATACATCTCCTGATTAATCTACATGTGCCTTGATTAATTTATACATCTCTTGATTTGTCTGTACATTGGGACTGGCACTGAGCATGCACTGTTGCATGCACCCCAGTGGCTGGGGTCGGTTCCCTGGCTGGGAATCGAACCTGCCCACAGAGGTGAGAGCACTGTGGCCTAACCACTAGTCCTCCAGGGACCCGTTGATTAATAAATATGTATCCCGATTAATTTTTACATCTCCTGTTAAATTTACTCTTAATGAAAAAATTATCTCCTAAAGAATCTATGCATCTTTTGATTAATCTATATGTGCCCTGATTCATTTATATGTCTCCTGGAGAAGGCGCACATCTCCTAAATAATCTATACATGTGCTATGTCCCCTGATTAATCTATGCATATCTGTATGGCTTCTGAATAATATATGCCCTATATATGATATGCCTATCTATACGTCTCCTGATTAATCGATATATCTTCAGATTATTACATGTACTTTGTAATTAGTTTGTCTCCTGATTAATCTATGCACCAACCAGTTCATTTCAATCTGTGTGCCTCCTGATTAATTCAATCAATCAGCATGTCCTCTGCCTATCCGATATGTCTCCCGATTATTAGATTCATCTCCTGATTAATCTGCAACTTCCGGATTAATTAGTCTTCTGATTTGCATGCTCTACTTTTGATCTATACGTTTCCTAATTCGATTAATCTATATGTCCACAGTTACTATATGTGTCTCCTGAGTATAATCTCTGTCTCCTAATAGATTTCTATGTCTCATAATTCATCCATAAGTGACATAATTAATCTTCCCTTCGATTCCTCGAGGTTCATGTCAAAAGCCAAATGCTGAGGAGAATTGCTGCTGAAATATTACTGAGAGGCAATAAAATCAACAAAGGTGTCAAATCTAATAATCTCTGTGTTATAATTGCTCTATTAGAATTTTAAAGCTGTGCTAAGCACATTTTAAAAATTTACACACAGCAATTTATGGCACCACTAATGAGGAGCATAAAGCAATGAAACTAGGTCTCAGTTGGGTCTCAGAGAGTGTGTCTGGCTCATCTGTGTCTCCTGCTCAACAAGGGCAGAAATGTCATGGGGTCGTCCATTATAGCCAAGCCCCGCCCACTTGGGGATATAACCATTTTGGAGCATTTAACAATTCCCAGGGCGCCAACGCTGTCTCCTGAAGCTGCAGGATTGTCTTTACTTATCGCTAACTCGTGATTCTGTCCGTCTGTCTGTCTGCAGGTTGTGAGAGGTGAATAGGAGACTCGCAGCGTTTGTGCCATCGAGGCTGCTGAAGCACACGTGCCAACCATCACGATGCCAACCCTGTTGCTGCTGCTGCTCGCCTCCTTACTGCTTCTCACACACGCCGAGAGTGAGTCCCTCCATCCATCTATTTTCACATCTGTCCATCACAGTGCCCACACACACACACACACACACACACACACACACACACACACACACACACACACAGAGTTCATGAGTTCTGCTCCATTCAGTTCAGTTCAGTCTGTTTGCAGATAACATGAGGATGTGGGGGCGTGTCCATAGAAGAGCATATATGGAAGTCAGCTAACATAAACTAGCTTGACTGAGCAGCATTACAAAACTATTTTTGAGACATAGGTCACCACTCAGAAACATTTGATGGATGGTTCATATATGATCTCAACACACACATGTCTCACTTAGAGACAGAACATCTGGCTTTCTGGTGTCATCTTGTCAGCCTAATCATCCTTCTGTCTCGTCCTCCTGAACGGCGGCTAGCCAACATCTGTTTCCTCATATTTACAGAGTCGAGAACTTAGCGCTCTCCTCCAGTGATGATATTTGAGCAGAAGTTCGATAACGTGATAACTTGTGAATGTTAGCTGTCATCTGATTAGAGGAGGGGAAAAAGTATGATGAGCATTAATCCTGAATGTTAACGTTGAGGGAATGCTGATGTTGGACAGGAAATGACATCACAGACCTGGTGTTGAACATCTCAGCAGTGTAAATTGTAAACTTCAGTGTTCAGGCATCACCGAGCTGCTGAGCTCTAGCCGAGAAACATGTCCCGGCTGTCTTCATTACTTCACATATAAAACTTTTAAAACTTTTATTATCCATCTGTCTCTCTCTCTCTCTCTCTCTCTCACTCGCTCGCTCACTATCGCTCTCTAACTCTCTCATTGCATCATCGTTTTGTTTTCTGAAAGAGACCTCACTGGCAGGAGTGAAAATGATGAGCAGATCTTAGAACTTTAAGGCTGTGAAATGTCTGCACCTTTTCACTCACCCTCTTGTTCTTTCTCTCTCTTTTTTTAGATATCTCTTTATTGCTTTTGTTCTTGTTGTGTCTTTGTCTTTCACTCATTCTCCCTCTTCTGTCTCTCTAGTTATCTCATTGTCCATCTCATCCTTTTGCTGAGCCTCTCTCTCTCTCTCTCTTTCCCCCATCTCTCTCTCTCTATCACTCCCCTCTTCTCTCACCTTCTGCCTCTCTCTCTCTCTCTCTCTCTCTCTCTCTCTCACACCAGCTGTTCATCTCTAAAAAGATTGTTGGCAGCTGTTAGAGGTTAATTATTTTGAGACCAAAACAAAGTAACAGTGTGTGTGTGTGTGTGTGTTTTGGCTACAAGGACCTACATTCATGGTCACCAGATCCCAGCCAGACATGCTGTCATAGTTTCAACCTTCAGCAGTTGCCAATTGAAGGCTTCTGTTTAGTGAACATGTGTCCGTGTCCCCCTTCTCCATCAAACGCTGGACACAGCACGCAGAAATGAGGGATGAAGGAATGAGGGAAAGAGAAGGAGGGAGCGTGTCAAAATTGGTAGGCTGGAGAGGATCAAGAAAGATTCTCGCACCTCCGCCTACACGTTTTAGCAAAACACCTGCTGCTCTAGATGTACAACACACAACACACAGCACACGCCAAGTGAAATACAATATGGCACCCACAATTGAGACACACACACACATCTCACACACACATCTAAAACTTTGTAGACTATTCTCTTACTATGTCTTCATGCTAGCTAGTTTTTTTTTGTCCCTCCCACTTTGTCTCTTGTGGGCGTGGCCTGCTCAGTTAAATTATAGTATCTAAAACATATAGAGTCTCTACAGAAGTCAGGTTCGTTTAGAAATATTAAATATTGTATCATATTGTTTTTCAAGATAAAACCCTCCATAAGCTGATTTTTGTTATCCAACTTGAACCGCCCACATGAATCAAACATCTCCAAATACAGATACAGAGCTGTCAATCAACCATAAATCTTCAACATCTTCCCTTTAATCTATCTGTATTCAGCCCGGATCAGAGTGCTGCTTCACATCATCCGTGTTTCCTGTTTCACACCAACATTTCCTGATTGTACTTTGTTTTCATCATTTCTTTGGTGGAAAAAAAAAAGTTTGATTTCTTTTTTTGTCTCTGAAGCCACTAATTAAAGAGCCATCTGTTTGTTAGTGACAGACAGCTCACACAGATTGTAATACAGCGTCCACTTGTCTTTGCTTTATTTAGATTTATGTCATGTAGTGTTACAAATTAGCTAGTGATGGATGACTCAGCAGTAAAGGTGCAAAACTAGCATGGTATGGTCCTGAACTTTAAGGACCACTGTTGCACCTTAGTACAGCTTACATGGTTTGTAGTTTTTTTTTTTTTTTTTTTGCTGTGCTGTTTTTTTCCCCCTCATACCTTCCCAGCAGACGAATGAGCTCTAAATGCGACAATATTTAAGCAGCTGAAATAGGAATGGCTTCCCTGCCGAGCCTATTAAACCTCAAATGTCAGGTTTAGTGATGCTGCTGTTAGAGAAGTGTGTGGAGGAACAAAAAAACAAGTTTGTAGAATTGCTTCTGTAACACACACATATTTTTCACTTTTATTTGGTTTAACACTGATGCTGAAGCATCACTAAAAAGTCATAAGAAAGTGTAAGGAAAGATGTAGGGTTGTTAATAATACTGCCATCGGTTGATATACCATGGTTTAGACCATTCATATTTTGCATTTATGGAATAGATATTGAAAAAAAAACATGATTCGTAGGTGCAGCATGAGATTTTTAGAGCTAGCAAAATTGTATGTTATAAATGTTAGAAATGTTCAGTAGTGCTAATGTTGAATTCAGCTTAGCTCAGAAGTTGGGACGTGGAATCATGTCATTTTTTTTCAAGCTACAAAATGAGGGAAAAAAACAGTGGGCGCCTCCATGTTCGTCAACTGACTGTAATATAAGCGATGTATATTTTCCTCCTCAAAACAGCAAACTGTATAGTCAGTGTTATTGATTAAACAAGCAAAAATGTCTGTATGTTGATTAATCTAAAGCAAATACTTGTGTATACAGCGTAACTCATTTAAAAGTAAAGAAGCGCTACTTCATGCTGTGAGCAGCCATTTTGATTTGATGCCACTTGCTGAACTCGGGGTTGAGGAGACCATCCGATTTTTATGAGTAGAGATCAGTTTTCCTCGAATACATGATTTAGATAGTTTTTTCTAGTATTTTAGTGCATATGAGAATAATTGCAATTTGATAAGCCTTTCTATACGCTCCTAAATAAAGTAAATTACATATACTGTACTTTGTGAATTTCCTTATAAGGAAAAAGGAGGAAGAGATCATTTCCAGGACAGAACAATGTAAACAGAAGCCTCAGGAAAAAACAAAACAAAACAAAAAAAACAAGTCATCTCCATTTTATTTATTTATTTATTTATTTATTTTTTAAATGTTATATGTTTATTACATGACTAGAAATTTGTTTTAACATTCATTGGAAGTGTGTGTGTCCGATCATGATTGGCGGTGGTGTTACATAAATACCTTGTCGGCAGTGTGTTGAAGAATGAGTAGAAAGCGGAACGTTTACTTAAGCTTTTGTTTTGTATTTGATGTATAATGAATTCTTGACATTGCCCCATTCCTAGTCCTTATGTAAAGTACATTAAACAAGCAGATTATAGTAGATAAAAACAGAGATTAAACAAAAGCACAACACACACACATTCACACTTTGCTATTATAAAGAGTGCACAGATGCTGTAAATCTGTCCTCAGTGTTTGGGCTGTAAGTGCTATAATCTTTATCTGGTATAAAAATCTGCTTGTTCACCGTGCCTCCGTCTTCAGGTGTTGCGTAAGACCACTTAGCGCCGCTCTGACA